CTCTCCCCCTCTCTCTCACGTCCCCCTCTCCCCCTCTCTCTCACGTCCCCCTCTCCCCCTCTCTCTCACGTACAGCGACTCGGCGGCTGCGACTCTCTCGGCGAGGCCATGAAGTCGCGTTGGGTCGCTGAGATCCACGATCGGCGAGACGTGCGGGTGTGGCACGCGGTCGCGCCGATCCCCTGCCGGGTCCCCCGCCGCCGCCGCCGCCGCCGTCGCGTCGCGAGCGATGAGGTTGTCCGTGATGCGACGCAGCGTCGTGCGAAGCTTACTGCTCATCGTCCGCTCGTTGACCTCCATCTGAAGGTCACGCAGGGGTCGGGGGGGTCACGCAGGGGTCGAGGGGTCACGCAGGGGTCGAAGAATCACGCAGGGGTCAAGAGGTCACGCAGGGGTCGAGGGGTCACGCAGGGGTCGAGGGGTCACGTGTTTTCAATGTTCACGAGAGATTGCGCTTACAGTGGGAAATGATTCGTGAAGTGCAATACTGTCATGATGTACACTAGTGCAATAACGCGTGGAGTGCAATAGCATGCACGTCGCTGTTTAAAATTCGCGATTCAGTACAATGGCTGTACGACTGTGATCTAGTTTAGATGTTGGACTGAAATGCATCGAATGAACGAACGCGATGAAATGAATTACAAAATACAAATTATAAACAAACTGGAAAACTATTGCTAACTATTGCTAAACGCACGCACGCACGCACTCACTCACGCACGCACGCACGCACGCACGCACGCACGCACGCACGCACGCACGCACGCACAGATACACCATGTTACTGTTCATTGCAAAAATGACTTCAAAAATAAAACGAATTAAAAATTGCCGTAGCGAGATTCAGCTCAACTCGTCATCGATACGTTACGAATCGTCTGCGAGATGCGGTCGCCGCGGTTACGCACCATTTCCGAGGCAAAGAAGCTGTAGACGGCGTACAGGTAGAAATCGAAGAGCTGCGACATGCAGATTGTCACGTCGAACGCGATCGTACGCAGACAGTCCATCATCTGTATGTATTTGCCTGCGAAGATGCGGAAAAAAACGACACGAAGTTCAGCAGACGGGCGAAACAAGGAGAACAGATGTAGAGGGTAAGGTAGCCTTAGAGTGGGAGATAGGAACGTAGGTATATATATATATGGGGAGAGGGAGGTGGTATGGGAAGTGTGGGTAGCAGTGGGAGCAGGTGGGTAGTAGCTGTAGTATACAATTGTTGGTGGTGTGTGTGTGTGTGTGTGTGTGTGTGTGTGTGGTGCGTCGCGTGCGTGCGTGTGTGGCGTGTATGAGTATGCGTTGCGCGTATGTGTGCGTGATGCATGTCGTAGTGTGCACGTGCGTGCATGCCATGCCGTGTGTGCGTCAGTGTGTGTATAAAGTAATTAGCTGGTAAATCGGCAAAAATTATGAGGTCGATAAGAAACAATTACCCAAACAAGCGAAGCACCGTCAGAGTTGTGTTTGTGACAAATAGGTGGCGCTTTCGTCGCTTTCCAGCTTGGTCGTCTTGGCATACACCGCATCGGCAGGGGCCTACACAGCAAGCACACAATCACCGGTTTACTGCCGCAAACAGGCAGAGAGCACTCATATCACAACCTTACCCATAGCTAAGGCTGCCTGACATGCTGAACAAGATGAATTAAATCACGTTTAAATAATATATACATTTGTATATGTCTCTTATTGATGTCTCCTGGGGCCGGTTCGACGAAGGCATACTTAAGTTAAGTATGATTAAATGCACTAATGCATACTTAAACTGTTCGCCGTAGGTTTATGATTAGTTTAATCATACTCAAATATGTTTCACGAACGATTAAGTAGGCTATTTAACTATACACTAATTAGACGACTTCAATCATGAATAGACTAGTACTCGCTCCCCTCTCGCTTAGTTACTTGATGGGAATCGAGTAATCGAGGTGGGAGCGAGTACAGTCAAAACAATTAACGGTATTCAATATGGCGGACCAAATAAACGCAAAAATATCTTCAAGTTCGGATAATGAAACGGATATTTGTAAGTATATGATTTGAAGTAGTACACAATCTTAGATAATTCAAATTTCCTTGGGAGAAAATTGAAGTAAAATTTCGAATTGTAAAATCTGCAGCGTACTTAATTATACTAGTATTACCTACTTTAAGTTCTAGTACTAGCAACCTAATTATGATTAGTGGATTTAATCATAGGCTCCTGAGTAGAATTAATATTGTGATTACATAAATCATTGATTAAAGTTAATACGCTTCGTGGAAACAGTCCACTTTAATCTAAGTCGAGACGTTAATCATGATTAGTGATTTAATCACGATTCAATACTTAAGTAGGCTTGCGTGAAGCCGGCCTGATAATGATATACTAGCATAATATAACGTATTGCGCCATTCTGCGCTAAAATCAGGTATAAAAAATATATACATACGTATATGTATATATATTTTATATCAAGAGTGATATAATAAATCAGGTATTGCTTGTGATATATAATATATTACTACATATAAAGGCATTCTGCTCACTGATCACCACCCGGAGTGGCAGTAGAGACGCAAGAGTTCAGCAGCTGTACTGTAGGCGTGGCTTTCCCCTGTCACCCCTTCCTCTATGTAGTCCTGCTTCAACTCCTCAGGGACGTCATCATCCGAGGTACTGTCATCATGGTCCAGACTGTAGGAGTTCTCAAACTACAACGACAAATAATACACCGATGGAAAGATCCACCAGGGTTTGTTACGCACGCACGCGGCGCACAAGCACACGCACAGCGCACACGCACGACGGCACGCAACGCACGCACGGCACGCATCGCACGCACGCACGCACGAGCAGCACGCACGCACCAACGCACGCACGCGCCGCGACGCACACACACATATTTGTCATATATTAACCCCTAATATATCTTTAGTATATATATACCACGACGCAATACACATCGCTTGCTGCCATCTGTGGTTATAACGCATAACCATTCTCTGTGTGGTTGCTACAATTATGACTCCGTGGTGGTACTGCACTGAGGTAATTGTAGACACAGGCTTATCATGTGATGCAATCAGCTCTAGAGGTTTAGTGCATCCAGAGAAAGAACATCAGAAGGCAGAAGACACAAAGATACTCCCGCGAGTGATCAGCAGGCTCAACTGCACGTGGCTTCAGTACAGATCTTGCTCCATGATGTGCTCGCGCCGCTTCCTGCGTCGCGCTGCGACTATTGAACGCGTTTCCGGCATCGAGATATCGGCAGGAGAATGGCCACTCCTGCTGATGCTCGCCCCTGCTGCCCGGTCGCAACGCTGCTTCAACCGCGATGACTCACGACTTGGTTGCTGATCGCCTGCCCTGCTGTAGGAAACCACCAAAATTAAAAAGTAAAAAATTATTATTATTATATTTTATTATTCAGCAGGCAACATCAGTCATGATCATCCTCGCAGAAGTGTTGATCGGGAAAGCTGGGCGAGGTGGGAAAACCGCAGTGAAATCAACGCTATCGCATACCATTGCTAAACGGCGGCTTTTTAGTTTTGTACTTTATATTTTTTATTTACTCATTTTTCATGATTTACTTATAGATTTTGTCGCTCGGTACTTAAGTCTCGCCTTCTGCAACGATCGTCTCACACTGGCATGGATGCATGGCCGTACCTGGCCGCTGGGCGACACTGCCCTGCTGCTTGGCTGCTGGCTGGCTGCAGGAGAGGTGATGCGCGGCGGAATTGAACTCCTGGCAGATGTATATGAGAAGCTGCCTTGACGGGCACGGCTCCATCCCTTCGTTCTCCAGAACAATTCGCAGCTCCTTCCTATGCGACCCCTGCAAAGAACGTGTGCATGCCCGCAACTCGTCACCGTCAAGCATCACATCTCACCAAGGCTCGCGCGCATTTCGAAAGAAATCGACGATTCGGCAGAGCGAGACTACTTCGCACTTCTTACTTGGACATCGCCTTGGGCAAGTGGTCACGCAAGAAGGGTGCCTGTAGGTGGTTTAACGTGTGCGGCATGCAAAACTGTTGACTCTGTGGCACTTTGCTGGGCTAAAGCATGTTTTTTAGAAGAGTAACTACGCAACCCTGATTGTTTAGAGCGCGTGTCCATTCATGCGCAAGTGTACTAGTCATACGTGATTACACAATTACTGCGTGTAAGCGGGAAATGACCTGCCGACACGCAAGACATAGCAATACTAATACAATACATACATACATACATACCATACTACATACATACTAATACTACAATCCAGTACAATCCATCCTAATACATACATACATACATAGCATACATACATAACATATAAAATAACATACATACATACATACCATACTACAACATACATACTACATATCATACATACATAGCATACATACATACATAGATACATAGCATACATATCATTAATACTAGCATACATAGCATACATACATACAGATACAATAGCATGCATGCATGCATGCATCGATGTCATGCATATACATAATACTTACATACATACATACATACATAATACTACATACATATAATACATACATATACTACATAGCATACATACTACATACATACATACATACAGTACATACATACATACATACATACATACATACATCCTACATACATACATACTATACATAATGCATGATGCATGCATGCATGCTTGCATAAGCGCATACATACATACATACATACATACATACATAACTTACTACATAACATACATACATACATACAGTACATACATACATACATAGCATACATACATACATACATACATTTCATACATACATTCATCATACATCCATAACATACATACATGCGTACATAGAATAATGCTGTGAGACGTACTTGTGATAGGTGGCGGCAGTAGTTGACGCTCTGCTTGCGATGGATCCTGCAGGAACTCAGACTCGCTGCAGAGAACTCGCTCACGCGATCTGCATCAACCTGTGGGAGAGCGACGCGGAAGTACGTGAGGATGTATATTATGATATTGATATATAAATATATATATATTATATTTAGTATACGCCCGTTATAACACAATGGTTGGGGTCCTATATAAATATCACTGCGTAAAAAGGGGTCGCACTAAATTGGGGTTATATATGCGTGGCCTAATAAGAGCAACACAGGGGTCCAACGACTCATCGCGCTGATATCCGATTCGCGTTAAATTCGGGGGCCTAAAATGGAGTTCGGCAGCGTATAATAATATTTATATGAATATATATACAGACATGTAAAGGACGTGAAGCCTAATACGACACAGCGAGTAAATGCGTGAGAATTAGCATAGTGTCTACATGCTGCGGGTGTGCTTGTGTGGAAATAAAACCTTTCTGTTGAAGGTTAGTTTTGCTTGGTAGCATATAATATATTGCCTAGCAGATTTATGATAATTTTGTTTTAAAAAAAGCAATAAAAGTTTTGAGTCGCCCTTTTTGGCGGTCGGTCGGGTGAGGCCAACAAACATATTTTTATTATGGCCTGAGTAAACGCGAGAGAGGGCCGCCGCTGGGCTGATACGACGATGTTCGCCGTGGCCGCGTAAACATGCATCACTCATTCATTCTGACGTTAACTTTAGCAGAGTCAGACCCGAGGACAGGATCCTCCGACTACAGTTTCATGCACATCTTAGAGATGCTTGCCCTGAAGGGTCGACCTAAAGGCGTAACACGGGCAGCGGCGCCCCCTACCTGCGCACGTGGTCGACGATGCGTATGAAGTCGTCAAACTTCATGGTGGACAGGTCGGTGGCCTGCGCGTAGGCTCGCACCTTCTGCTGGACGTCGTGCCACACGCGCAGCCGGCCGTGGTCGAGCTTGGCGTCGGATGTAGGCGCGCGCGACGCTCTCCTCTACATTTCCCGCTGCAACGACCGAGAACGAGAGATGAAAGACGAGCGTCGTCGTGGCAACCGCGAACACGCAGCCTCCCGCTCGCCGTGGCGCGAGAATTAGGATATATGATGGGCGCGTTCGCGACCCATGCTCACCGTTAGTGCGTGCGTCGATTCCCCACCCACAACAACAACCCACGACTCCCTCCCTCATCGCGTGAGTATGTGGGGGTAAGGTGAGGGGCGGTTACTACTCACTGTGGCCACGCCTCCGTCCTCCACCGTACACGGGGGCGTGTTTGTGACCCATGCTCACCGTTAGTGCCTGCGTCGATTGCCCACCCACAACAACAACCCACGCCTCCGTCCCCCACCGTACACGGGGGTGTGTTTGTGACCCATGCTCACCGTTAGTGCGTGGCGCGATTCCCACCGACACAACAACCCACGCCTCGTCCCCACCGCACACGGGGGTGTGTTTGTGACCCATGCTCACTGTTAGTGCCTGCGTTGACTCCCCACCCACAACAACAACCCACGCCTCCCTCCCCCACCGTACAATGGGGGCGTGTAGCGCGACCCATTGCTCACCGTTAGTGGCGTGCGTTGACGA